TTGGACTTCTGATTGAATTCACCTCAAAATCCCACTCACATTCAATTTGGATGAATTAGTATCTCTCCCCTCAGCAGAAGGGTTCCATATCATTTTCCAAACCACAGAAACTCATCTTGGTCATGTTGCCTGTAGATTTCTAATCCTGAAAGGCCAATTTGCTGTGTTTTTTGTTTTCTTTCATAATGGCTACTCTGTCGACAATCTTGCCTGTATTGCATGAGAATACACAATTTGGGTATGAAGAAGGGAAAACCAACTCAGACCCAGAAAATATTCAGCAAACTGACCCTCAAGAAACCAAAAGTCAGCTGAGGCACCCAACAATGACAGCAAGCCAGAATTGGAGCAAGCCAACAACTGTGCCCCAATTGAAAAAGAACCATTCTCTTGTGCCCTGAACTCCATATTGCAGCCTCAAAACCAAAGCTCACATCAGAAAATTCATTACAAACCATGATAAATAAGGGAAATGTGAAAAAGCCAAAGAAATGCAAGAGTCCTTTGTGATATTTGGCTGGATTTAGACACAAGGAAACTGGCTGTTTCAGGATTCATCCCACCCTTAAACAGACTGACTTTGGAATTCTGATTGAATTCACCTCAAAATTGCACTCACACTCAATTTGGAGGAAATTAGTATCTGTCCCCTCGGCAGAAGGAGTCCAAGTCATTTTCCAAAACACAGAAACTCATCTTGATTGTGTTGCCTGTACAGTTCTAAACATGAAAGGCCAATTTGCTTTGTTTTTTTTTTTTTCTTTCATAATGGCTACTCTGTCAAAATCTTGCTTGTATTGCATCAGAATACAAAATTTGGGAATAAGAAGGCAAAACTAACTCACACCCAGAAAACATTTAGGATATTGCCACTCAAGAATCCACAAATCAGCTGAGGCACCCAAAACAATGACAGCAAGCCAGAATTGGAGCAGGCCAACAGCTGTGCCCTGATTGAAAAACAACCTTCCTCTGGTGCCCTGAACTGAATATGCCAGCTTAAAACCAAAGCTCACATCAGAAAACTCATTACAAACCATGATACATAAGAAAAATGAGAAAAAAGCCAAAGAAACGCAAGAATCCATAATGATATTGGGCTTGATTTAGTCAAAAGGAAACCGGCTATTCCCAGATTCATCCACCCCTCCAGCTGACTGCTTGTGGAATTCTGACGGAATTATCCGGAAAATCGCAGGGAAACTCAGTTTGGAGGCAATTAATATCTGTCACCTCAGCCAAAGTGTCCCATTTTATTTTCCAAAACACAAAAACTCACCTTGGTCGTATTACCTGTGGATTTCTAAGCTTCAAACGCCTATTTATTGTGTTTTTTTTTTATGGCAAAATGGCAAGTCTGTCCAAACTCTTTTTTGTATTGGGTCAGAATACAAAATTTTGGAAGGAAAGAAGGAAAACCAACTCAGACGAACAAAACATTTAGGAAATTGATGCTCAAGAAACCTCAAATCGGCGGAGGCAACCAAAACAATGACAGTAAGCCAGAATTGGAGTAACCCAGCAGCTGTGCCCTGATTGAATAAGAACCTTCCTCTTGTGCCCTGAACTCCATATGCCAGCCTCAAAACCGAAGCTCACATCAGAAAATTCATTACAAACCATGATAAATCAGAAAAATGAGACAAAAGCCAAAGAAATGCAAGAATCCATAATGATGTTGGGCTGGATTTAGTTTCAAGGAAACCGGCTGTTCCCAGATTCATCCACCCCTCCAGCTGACTGCCTGTGGAATTCTGACTGAATTAACCGGAAAATCGCAGTGAAACTCAGTTTGGAGGCAATTAATATATGTCACCTCAACCAAAATGTTCCATTTGATTTTCCAAAACACAAAAACTCACCTTGGTCATGTTACCTCTGGATTTCTAAGCTTCAAAATCTATTTGTTGTGTTTTTTATTTCATAATGGCCACTCTGCCCAAACTCTTGTTTGTATTGCATCAGAATACAATATTTGGGAAGGAAGAAGGCAAAACCAACTCAGACCCAGAAAACTTTTAAGAAATTGCTGCTCAAAAAACCTCAAATTGGCGGAGGCACCAAAAACAATGACAGCAAGCCAGAATTGGAGCAGCACAACAGCTGTGCTCTGTTTGAAAAAGACCGTTCCCCCGGTGCCCTGAACTCCATATTACAGCCTCAAAACCAAAGCTCACATCAGAAAATTCATTACAAACCATGATAAATAAGAGAAATGAGAAAAAAGCCAAAGAAATCAAGAATCCATAATGATATTGGGCTTCATTTAGTCGCAAGAAAACGGGCTGTTCCCGGATTCATCCACCCCTCCTGCTGACTGCCTGTGGAATTCTGACTGAATTAACCTGAAAATCGCAGTGAAACTCAGTTTGGAGGCAATTAATATCTGTCACCTCAGCCAAAGTGTTCCATTTCATTTTCCAAAACACAAAAACTCACCTTTGTTGTGTTACCTGTAGATTTCTAAGCTTCAAAAGCCTATTTGTGGTGTTTTTTATTTCATAATGGCTACCCTGCTGAAACTCTTGTTTGCATGGCGTCAGAATACAAAATTTGGGAAGGAAGAAGGCAAAACCAACTCAGACCCAGAAAACATTTAGGAAATTGCCGCTCAAGAAACCACAAATCGGCTGAGGCACTCAAAACAATGACAGCAAGCCAGAATTGGTGCAGGCCAACAGCTGTGCCCTGTTTGAAAAAGACCATTCCTCCGGTGCCCTGAACTCCATATTGCAGCCTCAAAACCAAAGCTCACATCAGAAAATTCATTACAAAGCATGCTATATCAGAAAAAGGAGAAAAAAGCCAAAGAAATGCAAGAATCCATAATGATATTGGGCTTGATTTAGTCGCAAGGAAACCGGCTGTTCCCGGATTCATCCACACCTCCAGCTGACTGCCTGTGGATCTGCCTGAATTCACCTGAAAATCGCAGTGAAACTCAGTTTGGAGGCAATTAATATCTGTCACCTCAGCCAAAGTGTTCCATTTTATTTTCCAAAACACAAAAACTCACCTTGCTCGTGTTACCTATGGATTTATAAGCTTCAAAACCTATTTGTTGTGATTTTATTGCATAATGGCTACTCTGCCGAAACTCTTGTTTGTATGGCGTCAGAATACAACACTTGGGAAGGAAGAAGGCAAAACCAACTCAGACCCTGAAAACATGTAGTAAATTGTCGCTCAAAAGACCAATAATCGGCTGAGGCACCCAAAACAATGACAGCAAGGCAGAATAGGAGCAAGTCAACAGCTGTGCACTTTTTGAAAAATAACCTTCCTCCGGTGCCCTGAACTCCATATTGCAGCCTCAAAACCAAAGCTCACATCAGAAAATTCATTACAAACCATGATAAATAAGAAAAATGAGACAAAAGCCAAAGAAATGCAAGAATCCATAATGATATTGGGCTTGATTGAGTCGCAAGGAAATTGGCTGTTCCCAGATTCATCCACCCCTCCAGCTGATGCCTGTGGAATTATGACTGAATTAACCTCAAAATAGCAGTGAAACTCAGTTTGGAGGCAATTAATATCTGTCACCTCAGCCAAAGTGTTCCATTTGATTTTTCAAAACACAAAAACTCACCTTGGTCGTGAACCTGTAGATTTCTAAGCTTCAAACGCCTATTTGTTGTGTTTTTTATTTCATAATCGCTACTCTGTCTGAACTCATGTTTGTATTGCGTCACAATACAAAATTTGGGAAGGAAGAAGGTAAAAACCTCTCAGACCCAGAAAACATTTAGGAAATTGCCGCTCAAGAAACCAAAAGTCAGCTGAGGCACCCAAAACAATGACAGCAAGGCAGACTTGGAGCAAGTCAACAGCTGTGCCCTTTTTGAAAAATAACCTTCCTCTTGTGCCCTGAACTCCATATTGCAGCCTCAAAACCAAAGTTCACATCAGAAAATTCATTACAAACCATGATAAATAAGAAAAAGGAGACAAAAGCCAAAGAAATGCTAGAATCCATAATGATATTGGGCTTGATTTAGTCGCAAGGAAATTGGCTGTTCCCAGATTCATCCACCCCTCCAGCTGACTGCCTGTGGAATTCTGACTGAATTAACCTGAAAATCGCAGTGAACCTCAGTTTGGAGGCAATTAATATCTGTCACCTCAGCCAAAGTGTTCCATTTTATTTTCCAAAATCAAAAACTCACCTTGGTCTCGTTACGAGTAGACTTATAAGCTTCAAACGCCTATTTGTTGTGTTTTTTATTTCATAATGACTACTCTGTCCAAACTCTTGTTTGTATTCCATCAGAATACAATATTTGGGAAGGAAGAAGGCAAAACCAACTCAGACCCAGAAAACATTTAGGACATTGCCGCTCAAGATACCAAAAGTCAGCTGAGGCTCCCAAAACAATGACAGCAAGCCAGAATTGGAGCAAGCCAACAGCTGTACCATGTTTGAAAAAGACCATTCCTCAGGTGCCCTGAACTCAATATTGCAACCTCAAAACCAAAGCTCACATCAGAAAATTCATTACAAACCAAGATAAATAAGAAAAAGGAGAAAAAAGCCAAAGAAATGCAAGAATCAAGAATGATATTGGGCTTGATTTAGTCGCAAGGAAACCGGCTGTTCCCGGATTCATCCACACCTCCAGCTGACTGCCTGTGGACTTCTGACTGAATTCACCTGAAAATCACAGTGAAACTCAGTTTGGAGGCTATTAATATCTGTGACCTCAACAAAGTGTTCCATTTTATTTTCCAAAACACAAAAACTCACCTTGGTCGTGTTACCTGTATTTTTCTAAGCTTCAAACGCCTTTTTGTTGTGTTTTTTATTTCATAATGGCTACTCCGCCCAAACTCTTATTTGTATGGCGTCAGCATACAAAATTTGGGAAGGAAGAAGGCAAAACCAACTCAGACCCAGAAAACATTTAGGAAATTGCCACTCACAAACCACATATCGGCTGAGGCACTCAAAACAATGACAGCAAGCCAGAATTGGAGCAGCACAACAGCTGTGCCCTGTTTGAAAAAGACCATACCTCTGGTGCCCTGAACGCCATATTACAGCCTCAAAACCAAAGCTGACATCAGAAAATTCATTACAAACCATGATAAATAAGAAAAATGAGAAAAAAGCCAAAGAAACGCAAGAATCCATAATGACATTGGGCTTGATTCAGTCGCAAGGAAATGGGCTGTTCCCGGATTCATCCACCCCTCCAGCTGACTGCCTGTGGAATTCTGACTGAATTAACCTGAAAATCGCAGTGAAACTCAGTTTGGAGGCAGTTAATATCTGTAACCTTAGCGAAAGAGTTCCATTTCATTTTCCAAAACACAAAAACTCACCTTGTTAGTGTTACCTGTAGATTTCTAAGCTTCTAACACCTAGTTGTTGTGTTTTTTATTTCATAATGGCTGCTCTGTCCAAACTCTTGTTTGTAATGCGACAGAATACAAAATTTTGGAAGGAAGAAGGCAAAACCAACTCAGACCCAGAAAACATTTAGGAAATTGCCACTCAACAAACCAAAATTGAGCTGAGGCATGCAAAACAAAGACAGCAAGCCAGAATTGGAGCAAGCCAAGAGCTGTGCCCTGTTTAAAAAAAAAAACCTTCCTCTTGTGCCCTAAACTCCATATTGCAGCCTCAAAACCAAATCTCACATCAGAAAATTCATTACAAAGCAGGATAAATCAAAAATGAGAAAAATGCCAAAGAAATACAGGAGAGCTTTCTGATATTGGGCTGGATTTAGTCGCAAGGAAACCGGCTGCTCCCAGATTCATCCACCCCTCCTGCTGACTGCCTGTGGAATTCTCACTGAATTAACCTGAAAATCGCAGTCAAACTCAGTTTGGAGGCCATTAATATCTGTGACCTCAACAAAGTGTTCCATTTTATTTTCCAAAACACAAATACTCACCTTGGTCGTGTTTCGAGCAGACTTATAAGCTTCAAACGCCTATTTGTTGTGTTTTTTATTTCATAATGACTGCTCTGTCAAACTCTTGTTTGTATTCCATCAGAATACAAAATTTGGGAAGGAAGAAGGCAAAACCAAGTCAGACCCTGAAAACATTTAGGACATTGTGGCTCAAGAAACCACAAATTGGCTGAGGCTCCCAAAACAATGACAGCAAGCCAGAAGTGGAGCAAGCCAACATCTGTACCATCTTTTAAAAAGACCATTCCTCAGGTGCCCTGAACTCAATATTGCAACCTCAAAACCAAAGCTCACATCAGAAAATTCATTACAAACCATGATAAATAAGAAAAAGGAGAAAAAAGCCAAAGAAATGCAAGAATCCATAATGATATTGGGCTTGATTTAGTCGCAAGGAACCTGGCTGTTCCCGGATTCATCCACACCTCCAGCTGACTGCCTGTGGACTTCTGACTGAATTCACCTGAAAATCGCAGTGAAACTCAGTTTGGAGGCTATTAATATCTGTGACCTCAACAAAGTGTTCCATTTTATTTTCCAAAACACAAAAACTCACCTTGGTCGTGTTACCTGTATTTTTCTAAGCTTCAAACGCCTTTTTGTTGTGTTTTTTATTTCATAATGGCTACTCCGCCCAACTCTTGTTTGTATTGCGTCAGAATACAACATTTGGGAAGGAAGAAGGCAAAACCAACTCAGACCCAGAAAACCTTTAGGAAATTGCCGCTCAAGAAACCACAAATCGGCTGAGGCACTCAAAACAATGACAGCAAGCCAGAATTGGAGCAGCACAATAGCTGTGCCCTGATTGAAAAGCAACCTTCCTCTTGTGCCCTGAACTCAATATGCCAGCCTCAAAACCAAAGCTGACATCAGAAAATTCATTACAAACCATGATAAATAAGAAAAATGAGAAAAAAACCAAAGAAATGCAAGAATCCATAATGACATTGGGCTTGATTCAGTCGCAAGGAAACGGGCTGTTCCCGGATTCATCCACCCCTCCAGCTGACTGCCTGTGGAATTCTGACTGAATTCACCTGAAAATCCCAGTGAAACTCAGTTTGGAGGCAATTAATATCTGTCACCTCAGCCAAAGTGTTCCATTTGATTTTCCAAAACACAAAAACTCACCTTGGTTGTGTTACCTGTAGATTTCTAAGCTTCAAACGCCTATTTGTTGTGTTTTTTATTTCATAATGGCTACTCTGCCCAAACTTTTGTTTCTATTGCGTCAGATTACAAAATTTGGGAAGGAAGAAGGCAAAACCAACTCAGACCCAGAAAACATTTAGGAAATTGCCGCTCAAGCAACAAAGGGCCGCTGAGGAACCCAAAACTTTGAAAGCAAGACAGAATTGGAGCAAGCCAACAGCTGTGCCCTGATTGAAAAAGACCATTCCTCCGGTGTCCTGAACTCGATATTGCAACCTCAAAACCAAACCTCAGATCAGAAAATTCATTACAAACCATGATAAAAAAGAAAAATCAGAAAAAATCCAAAGAAATGCAGGAGTTCTTAGTGATATTGGGCTTGATTTATTCCCTGGTTAATGGCTGTTTCCAGATTCTTCTATACCTCCCAACTGAGTGTCTGTGGTTTCTGCTGAATTAAAATGAAATTCGCTGTGAAACTCGGTTTGGAGGCAATTAATATCTGTCACCTCAGCAAAAGTGTTCCATGTCTTTTTCCAAAACACAAAATCTCACCTTGGTCGTGTTACCTGTAGCTTTCAAAAGCCTATTTGATGTGTTTTTTATTTCATAATGTCTATTCTGTCCAAACTCTTGTTTGTATTGCGTCACAATACAAAATTTGGAAGTAAGAGGACAAAACCATCTGAGACTCAGAAAACGTTTAGGAAATTGCCACTCAAGAAACCTCAAATCGGCGGAGGCACCCAAAACAATGACAGCAAGCCAGAATTGGAGCAAGCCAGCAGCTGTGCCCTGATTGAAAAAGACCATTCCTCCGGTGCCCTGATCTCCATATTGCAGCCTCAAACCAAAGCTCACATCAGAAAATTCATTACAAACCTTCATACATAAGAAAAATGAGAAAATACCCAAAAATGCAAGAATCCAGAATGATATGGGCTGGATTTGTCGCAAGGAAACCGGCTGTTCCCGGATTCATCCAACCCTGCAGCTGACTGCCTGTGGAATTCTGACTGAATTAACCTGAAAATCGCAGTGAAACTCAGTTTGGAAGCAATTAATAACTGTCACCTCAGCTAAAGTGTTCCACTTTATTTTCTAAAACACAAAAACTCACCTCGGTCGTGTTACCTGTAGATTTCTAAGCTTCAAACGCCTATTTGTTGTGTTTTTTGTTTCATAATGGCTACTCTGCCCAAACTCCTGTTTGTATTTGGGCAGAATACAAATATTGGGAAGGAAGAAAGCAAAACCAACTCAGACCCAGAAAACATTTAGGAAATTGCCGCTCAAGCAACAAAGGGCCGCTGAGGAACCCAAATCTTTGAAAGCAAGACAGAATTGGAGCAAGCCAACAGCTGTGCCCTGATTGAAAAAGACCATTCCTCCGGTGTCCTGAACTCGATATTGCAACCTCAAAACCAAACCTCAGATCAGAAAATTCATTACAAACCATGATAAAAAAGAAAAATCAGAAAAAATCCAAAGAAATGCAGGAGTTCTTAGTGATATTGGGCTTGATTTATTCCCTTGTTAATGGCTGTTTCCAGATTCTTCTACACCTCCCAGCTGAGTGTCTGTGGTTTCTGACTGAATTAAAATGAAATTCGCTGTGAAACTCGGTTTGGAGGCAATTAATATCTGTCACCTCAGCAAAAGTGTTCCATGTCTTTTTACAAAACACAAAATCTCACCTTGGTCGTGTTACCCGTAGCTTTCAAAAGCCTATTTGATGTGTTTTTATTCATAATGTCTACTCTGTCCAAAGTCTTGTTTGTATGCCATCAGAAAAGAAAATTTGGGAAGGAAGACGGCAAACCAACTCAGACCCAGAAAACATTTAGGAAATTGCCACTCAAGAAACCGAAAGTCAGCTGAGGCACCCAAATAAATGGCAGCAAGCCAGAATAGGAGCAGGCCAACAGCTGTGACCTGTTTGAAAAAGAACCTTCCTCTGGTGCCCTGAACTCCATATTGCAGCCTCAAAACCAAATCTCACATCAGAAAATTCATTACAAACCATGAAAAATAAGAAAAATGAGAAAAAAGCCAAAGAAATGCAAGAATCCATAATGATATTGGGCTTGATTTAGTCGCAAGGAAACCGGCTGTTCCCGGATTCATCCACCCCTCCAGCTGACAGCTTGTGGAATTCTGACTGAATTAACCTGAAAATCGCAGTGAAACTCAATTTGGAGGCCATTAATATCTGTCACCTCAGCCAAAGTGTTCCATTTGATTTTCCAAAACACAAAAACTCACCTTGGTTGTGTTACCTGTAGATTTCTAAGCTTCAAACGCCTATTTGTTGTGTTTTTTGTTTCATAATGGCTACTCTGCCCAAACTCCTGTTTGTATTTGGGCAGAATACAAATATTGGGAAGGAAGAAAGCAAAACCAACTCAGACCCAGAAAACATTTAGGAAATTGCCGCTCAAGCAACAAAGGGCCACTGAGGAACCCAAATCTTTGAAAGCAAGACAGAATTGGAGCAAGCCAACAGCTGTGCCCTGATTGAAAAAGACCATTCCTCCGGTGTCCTGAACTCGATATTGCAACCTCAAAACCAAACCTCAGATCAGAAAATTCATTACAAACCATGATAAAAAGAAAATCAGAAAAAATCCAAAGAAATGCAGGAGTTCTTAGTGATATTGGGCTTGATTTATTCCCTTGTTAATGGCTGTTTCCAGATTCTTCTACACCTCCCAGCTGAGTGTCTGTGGTTTCTGACTGAATTAAAATGAAATTCGCTGTGAAACTCGGTTTGGAGGCAATTAATATCTGTCACCTCAGCAAAAGTGTTCAATGTCTTTTTACAAAACACAAAATCTCACCTTGGTCGTGTTACCTGTAGCTTTCAAAAGCCTATTTGATGTGTTTTTTATTTCATAATGTCTACTCTGTCCAAAGTCTTGTTTGTATGCCATCAGAAAAGAAAATTTGGGAAGGAAGACGGCAAAACCAACTCAGACCCAGAAAACATTTAGGAAATTGCCACTCAAGAAACCGAAAGTCAGCTGAGGCACCCAAATAAATGGCAGCAAGCCAGAATTGGAGCAGGCCAACTGCTGTGACCTGTTTGAAAAAGACCATTCCTCCGGTGCCCTGAACTCCATATTGCAGCCTCAAAACCAAAGATCACATCAGAAAATTCATTACAACCATGATAAATAAGAAAAATGAGAAAAAAGCCAAAGAAATGCAAGAATCCATAATGATATTGGGCTTGATTTAGTCGCAAGGAAACCGGCTGTTCCCAGATTCATCCACCCCTCCAGCTGACAGCTTGTGGAATTCTGACTGAATTAACCTGAAAATCGCAGTGAAACTCAATTTGGAGGCAATTAATATCTGTCACCTCAGCCAAAGTGTTCCATTTGATTTTCCAAAACACAAAAACTCACCTTGGTTGTGTTACCTGTAGATTTCTAAGCTTCAAACGCCTATTTTTGTGTTTTTTATTTCATAATGGCTACTCTGTCCAAACTCTTGTTTGTATTGCGTCAGAATACAAAATTTGGGAAGGAAGAAGGAAAACCAACTCAGACCCAGAAAACATTTAGGAAATTGCCGCTCAAGAAACAAAGGGCCGCTGAGGAAGCCAAAACCTTGAAAGCAAGACAGAATTGGAGCAAGCCAACAGCTGTGCCCTGATTGAAAAAGACCATTCCTCCGGTGTCCTGAACTCGATATTGCAACCTCAAACCAAACCTCAGATCAGAAAATTCATTACAAACCATGATAAATAAGAAAAATCAGAAAAAATCCAAAGAAATGCAGGAGTTCTTAGTGATATTGGGCTTGATTTATTCCCTTGTTAATGGCTGTTTCCAGATTCTTCTATACCTCCCAGCTGAGTGTCTGTGGTTTCTGACTGAATTAAAATGAAATTCGCTGTGAAACTCGGTTTGGAGGCAATTAAATTCTGTCACCTCAGCAAAAGTGTTCCATATCTTTTTCCAAAACACAAAATCTCACCTTGGTCGTGTTACCTGTAGTTTCAAAAGCCTATTTGATGTGTTTTTTATTCCATAATGTCTATTCTGTCCAAAATTCTTGCTTGTATTACGTCAGAATACAAAATTTGGGAAGGAAGAGGACAAAACAACTGAGACTCAGAAAACGTTTAGGAAATTGCCACTCAAGAAACCTCAAATCGGCGGAGGCACCCACAACAATGACAGCAAGCCAGAATTGGAGCAAGCCAGCAGCTGTGCCCTGATTGAAAAAGACCATTCCTCTGGTGCCCTGAACTCCATATTGCAGCCTCAAAACCAAATCTGACATCAGAAAATTCATTACAAACCATGATAAATAAGAAAAATGAGAAAAAAGCCAAAGAAATGCAAGAATCCATAATGATATTGGGCTGGTTCAGTCGCAAAGGAAACCGGCTGTTCCCGGATTCATCCACCCCTCCAGCTGACTGCTTGTGGAATTCTGACTGAATTAACCTGAATCGCAGTGAAACTCCGTTTGGAGGCAGTAAATAACTGTCACCTCAGCCAAAGTGTTCCATTTGATTTTCCAAAACACAAAAACTCCCCTAGGTCGTGTTACCTGTAGATTTCTAAGCTTCAAAAGCCTATTTGTTGTGTTTTTTATTTCATAATAGCTACTCTGCCCAAACTCTTGTTTGTATTGTGTCAGAATACAACATTTGGGAAGGAAGAAGGCAAAACCATCTCAGACCCAGAAAACATTTTGGAAATTGCCGCTCAAGAAACCACTAATCAGCTGAGGCACTCAAAACCATGACAGCAAGGCAGAATTGGAGCAGGCCAAAGCTGTGCCGTGTTTGAAAAAGACCATTCCTCCGGTGCCCTGAACTCCATATTGCAGCCTCAAACCAAAGCTCACATCAGAAAATTCATTACAAACCATGAAATAAGGAAAATGAGAAAAAAGCCAAAGAATTCAAAAGCAATAATGATCTTGGGCTTGATTTAGTCTCAAGGAAACCAGCTGTTCCTGGATTCAGACCACTGCAGCTGATGCCTGTGGAATTCGACTGAATTCACCTGAAAATCGCAGTGAAACTCAGTTTGGAGCAATTAATATCTGTCACCTCAGCCAAAGTGTTCCATTTGA